GGAGGGCTATACAATACACTGGGCAGGATATATAGGAGGAGGGCTATACAATACACTGGGCAGGATATATAGGAGGAGGGCTATACAATACACTGGGCAGGATATATAGGAGGAGGGCTATACAATACACTGGGCAGGATATATAGGAGGAGGGCTATACAATACACTGGGCAGGATATATAGGAGGAGGGCTATACAATACACTGGGCAGGATATATAGGAGGAGGGCTATACAATACACTGGGCAGGATATATAGGAGGAGGGCTATACAATACACTGGGCAGGATATATAGGAGGAGGGCTATACAATACACTGGGCAGGATATATAGGAGGAGGGCTATACAATACACTGGGCAGGATATATAGGAGGAGGGCTATACAATACACTGGGCAGGATATATAGGAGGAGGGCTATACAATACACTGGGCAGGATATATAGGAGGAGGGCTATACAATACACTGGGCAGGATATATAGGAGGAGGGCTATACAATACACTGGGCAGGATATATAGGAGGAGGGCTATACAATACACTGGGCAGGATATATAGGAGGAGGGCTATACAATACACTGGGCAGGATATATAGGAGGAGGGCTATACAATACACTGGGCAGGATATATAGGAGGAGGGCTATACAATACACTGGGCAGGATATATAGGAGGAGGGCTATACAATACACTGGGCAGGATATATAGGAGGAGGGCTATACAATACACTAGGCAGGATATATAGGAGGAGGGCTATACAATACACTAGGCAGGATATATAGGAGGAGGGCTATACAATACACTGGGCAGTCTCCTATACTTAGCTTTGAGAGGTAAGGTATATAGGAGGAGGGCGATACAATACACTGGGCAGTCTCATTTACTTAGCTTTGAGAGGTAAGGTATATAGGAGGAGGGCTATACAATACACTGGGCAGTCTCCTTTATTTAGCTTTGAGAGGTAAGGTATATAGGAGGAGGGCTATACAATACACTTGGCAGTCTCCTTTACTTAGCTTTGAGAGGTAAGGTATATAGGAGGAGGGCTATACAATACACTTGGCAGTCTCCTTTACTTAGCTTTGAGAGGTAAGGTATATAGGAGGAGGGCTATATAATACACTGGGCAGTCTCCTATACTTAGCTTTGAGAGGTAAGGTATTTAGGAGGAGGGCTATACAATACACTGGGCAGTCTCCTATATTTAGCTTTTAGAGGTAAGGTATGTAAGTGTAAAAGGAAAGAGAATAGTGTGCTTTCGCTGGGCATCGGACCCCCAATCCCTGTGTTCCTAGCCGGATGGTTTACCACTGAGCTAAAGGGAAATTCCCTCTAGCTTGGAGCTAGAAGGTGACCGTAATCCTAAGTACAATTAAAACCTGCCACACTACTCCCCCCTTTTTAAATGTGTTCGTTTCCAACACAAACAACCCAGGTTCTAACTTCCTGTCACCACAGGGAAGGTCACGGACACCATTTGTTACAGGAAAGAGAATAGTGTGCTTCCACCGGGGATCGAACCTGTGATCCCTAGGATCCTAGTCGGACGCTCTACCACTGAGCGAAAGGGATTCCCTCTAGTGCGAAGCTAGAAGGCGACAATAATCCTATGTACAATTAAAACCTGCCACATAGGAAGAGGGCTATAAGCTATGCTGGAAAGCGCATTTGATTTTCCATCAATAGCGGAGATATATATTGGGTTTGGCAATTTCTGCCTTCCCTGTGGAGCCTCATCAACTTACCCTCCAGATCCCAGGTAGCGTGCGGCAGGACTGTTACGGGCGATACTCCCCGCAGGAGAAATGTGATCTGTTGTCACGGAGTCCCCTAGGTTCAGCAACACACATGCATCTTTTAATCCTGTCTGGGTGGGCAGTTCTTTGGTCTAAGAAGGCAGAAATATATTCTTTCACAAATTTTTAATAGTGTCTCACTAAAATGGATTAATATCAAACTTTGTATCCTAAAAGAAATTCTGGGAAAATAAAAAAGAATTGGTGTAAGATAGAAATGAACATATGTTGAGGTTGACATATTTGGTGTAAATACTACCTCAACCTCATTTACCATAGTCTTACTAGCCCACCAATCTCAGACACACCAACCCTTTTACCATGTTCTTACCAACCCACTTACCATAGTCTCAAAGAATGGTGGAGACTTGATGTAGGTGGATTTTGGATCCCAGGGGTACAACATCTCTGACGGGGCCTCAAGGTCATTCCATCTCTTATTCCCAGCCTGTCCATTACAAAAACAAAGCATCTTAAACCAAAGTCAACTTTGACCCCATAAATTGGCCAAATATATATATCTTTATTTTGGCTTCTGATATACAGGGAAGATAAGATTGAAAGCATCAACTAGTAGTTGTTAACTACATGTAGATTGTATAGCCTTGTGTAGGTAAACTGTACTTATATATCATCCTTTACTACTGTGTATAGCCTTGTGTAGGTAAATTGTACTTATATATCATCCTTTACTACTGTGTATAGCCTTGTGAAGGTAAACTGTACTTATATATATATCATCCTTTACTACTGTGTATAGCCTTGTGTAGGTAAACTGTACTTATATATCATCCTTTACTACTGTTAACATAAAACAAGCTATATATGGTACATGTATTTATCACATTTCCAATAGTCCAGTTTCCTGTTTCTGTAGGTGTTTTTTTTACAAAAAATGTTTACCTCATTAAAAATAGCACCTGTACTACTTACAGTAATTCGTGAATAAACATCTGTAAACATGGCAGGAACCACGAACTGCTGTTCCACTTCCTGTCAAACAAAACAGCTGTTAATTAAATCATCACTTCGGGGCGAGTTCCAGTCAAAATGAGTGGTTTTTTTGTATTATTATTACAACAGGTATACACAGACAATTATTTTTGTGCTCGTAATATCTTGTTCAAAATCCTTCTGTTCTAGAATTGAATGTGAGGATGGGGTCAGAAGGCAATTTTTTGTTTTTTACTTCAACCATTCATAAAACAAAATGTATTTAATGCTGAAGTATCAACACTACAGTATTGCTGTCGAATCCACACAATCTAATTTATTTTAGACCAAACCATACAAAATTCAATTGGTCATTATTTAAACCACAAAGCATAATTTCAAGTGCAAAACTTATTCTTTTAATGCATGATAAATTCTATTTTCATTTATGTAACAGACTGAGGTCATTGTTTTTGTCCAAGCCTCTGCTAGGGGTCAAACCTGGGACCTCTGTCTTACTAGCCTGCCACTCCACCGAATGGCTTACTAGTCTGACACTCCACCGAATGGCTTACTTGTCCGACACTCTACCGAATGGCTTACTAGTCCGACACTCCACCGAATGGCTTACTAGTCTGACATTCTACCGAATGGCTTACTAGGCTGACATTCCACCGAATGGCTTACTAGTCTGACATTCCACCGAATGGCTTACTAGTCTGACATTCCACCGAATGGCTTACTAGTCTGACATTCCACCGAATGGCTTACTAGTCTGACACTCGACTGAATGCCTTCCTAGTCTGACACTCCACCAAATGGCTTCCTAGTCTGACACTTTCACCGAATGGCTTACTAGTCTGACACTCCACCGAATGACTTACTAGTCTGACACTCTACCGAATGGGTTACTAGTCTGCCACTCTACCGAATGGCTTACTAGTCTGAAACTCCACCGAATGGCTTACTAGTCTGACACTATATCAAATGGCTTACTAGTCTGCCACTCCACCGAATGGCTTCCTAGTCTGACTCTCTACCGAATGGCTTACTAGTCTGCCACTCTACCGAATGGCTTACTAGTCTGAAACTCCACCGAATGGCTTACTAGTCTGACCCTCCACCAAATGGCTTACTAGTCTGACCCTTTCACCGAATGGCTTACTAGTCTGACACTATATCAAATGGCTTACTAGTCTGCCACTCCACCGAATGGCTTACTAGTCTGACACTCCACCAAATGGCTTACTAGTCTGACACTTTCACCGAATGGCTTACTAGTCTGACACTCCACCGAATGGCTTACTAGTCTGACAATCTACCGAATGGCTTACTAGTCTGACACTCTACCGAATGGCTTACTAGTCTGACACTATACCGAATGGCTTACTAGTCTGACACTCTACCGAATGGCTTACTAGTCTGCCCCTCTACCGAATGGCTTACTAGTCTGACACTATACCGAATGGCTTACTAGTCTGACACTCTACCGAATGGCTTACTAGTCTGACACTCTACCCAAAGAGCTAGACATCTTCTCCCTAAGCAAAGCAGTCGGAAGTGGCCAGTATTTTACCAGGGTGACATTTATGTTACCGATGTCATTATTTTTTTGCAATGCCTTTGCTAGGGGTTGAACCTGGAAAATCTGGCTTATTTGTCAGACACACTTGCGATTGAGGCAACTCAAGGGTTTATCTAGATTTGTTACCGAAGTCGAATATAACAATATAAATCAATAATGTCATAAGAGCATGTGCAGTATTTTTTTTTTTCAAATATCGTTACCGGTAACTCTTTCTGTATTGTTGTCTTGTACAGACAACAGAATCATGTGTTTCCTGGTCCCCGTTGTCATGCACAGACGACAGGATAATGTGTTTCCTGGTTCCCTGTTGTCATGCACAGACGACAGGATAATGTGGTTCCTGGTTCCCTGTTGTCAGGTACAGACGACAGAATCATGTGTTTCCTAGTCCCTGTTGTCATGTACAGACGACAGGATAATGTGTTTCCTGGTTCCCTGTTGTCATGTACAGACGACAGAATCATGTGTTTCCTGGTTCCCTGTTGTCATGTACATACGACAGAATCATGTGTTTCCTGGTCCCTGTTGTCATGCACAGACGACAGAATCATGCGTTTCCTGGTCCCCGTTGTCATGTACAGACGACAGAATCATGTGTTTCCCGGTCCCCGTTGTCATGTACAGACGACAGAATCAAGTGTTTCCTGGTCCCCGTTGTCATGTACAGACGACAGAATCAAGTGTTTCCTGGTCCCCGTTGTCATGTACAGACAACAGAACCATGTGTTTCCTGGTCCCCGTTGTCATGTACAGACGACAGAAGCATGTGTTTCCTGGTCCCCGTTGTCATGTACATACGACAGAATCATGTGTTTCCTGGTCCCGGTTGTCATGCACAGACGACAGAATCATGCGTTTACTGGTCCCCGTTGTCATGTACAGACGACAGAACCACGTGTTTCCTGGTCCCCGTTGTCATGTACAGACGACAGAACCACGTGTTTCCTGGTCCCCGTTGTCATGTACAGACAACAGAATCATGTGTTTCCTGGTCCCCGTTGTCATGTACACACGACAGAATCATGTGTTTCCTGGTCCCCGTTGTCATGTACATACGACAGAATCATGTGTTTCCTGGTCCCTGTTGTCATGTACAGACGACAGAATCATGTGTTTGCTGGTCCCCGTTGTCATGTACAGACGACAGAAGCATGTGTTTCCTGGTCCCCGTTGTCATGTACACACGACAGAATCATGTGTTTCCTGGTCCCCGTTGTCATGTACAGACGACAGAATCATGTGTTTCCTGGTCCCCGTTGTCATGTACATACGACAAAAATATATGCCACAGCAACACTGTTAGCTCAACTAAGTTACTTCCCAATACAACGTCTGGGTTACAGAGCTAAGCCCATTTCGCTTCTTCATTCACGTTCCAGTACAAAGTGGCCATATTTAACAACAAATCACTTAACTTGTTTTGAATGAGAGAAGAGTGACATTACTTATTGAGAGTTACATTCCTTAGAGTACAGAATAAACATCCAAAATGATTTTCGATATAAGACTGAACATTTAGGTCAATGTCAGTTGTGACCAACAGATTTTAATTTTCTGGGTCTACAAAGTTGTCTTAGCTCATATATTGGAAGAATAAGTGTTGTCCCATTTAAGACATACCTGGATTTCTTTTCGTGTCGGCCAGATATCCCGGAGAAACACGTCCTTTCCTTCACCATTTTTTCCTGAAATACAGGTATGTTACAATCATACACACAACTTACACAGTGACAGGGATGTCGGTAGTCAGTCACTTCCGAAATACTTCTATTTCTCTTTATTCACTTCCACACCTAAACCGTCTGATGGCAATTTCTATAGTTCTATATATGCTCCCTATTGTAAAGGATCTGATGGAACCTTCCTAGCTTCTACACTTCCTCGAGTCAATCAATTATCAAGATTTAAAGGCAATACATATGTTCCTGTAGTGACAGTCCCTAAGCCCACTCTTTACCTGAATTCCATTCTTCACCTTCGGCCTGTACCTAGTTTCTGACTCCGCAGCCCATATCACCTTATACCTCGAAGTACTTTCCTTACTTCAGACTCGACTTTTATATATTCACTTTGTTCCCAAGGTCAATAAAATCCAATAGCATATTGATCTGGCAATAAGCTAATCCACATCTATTGTAATTCAGTAGAAATTCCAACAAACTTGATTTCACTGTCCTTTAATAAGCCCACCCCTCACTTTAAGATATACACATTTTGCCCTACTTGGCTTATATCATGAAAATCATCTGTTTCTCCCATTCCTGGGCATATATGATGAAACTGTCCGGTACTAAAAAGGAGTGCAAAAACTTTCTATCTTAAAACCCCATTTCACATGCTTTTTACATCACAAAATTGGAAACATTCTAATGTTGTGATGAGGAAACTGCAGTGTGTTTTTGTGGTTCCTGAGTTAAAACCTTAGTTTTGAAATATAATCCAGTCCTTACCTAGGGGTTGTGTTTCAAAGTCAATGAGGACGGTGCCGGCAAGTGCGTAGGCTATGACAAGGGGCGGTGAAGCCAGGTAGTTTGCCCTCGTTAGTGGATGGATCCGCCCCTCAAAGTTACGATTCCCTGAGAGCACGCCACAAGCTACCAAATCATTCTGTGGGGATGAAGATATGAATATGTTGATTACAGACAAGAAATTCATACACTTGTTTTCTGACAAAATTAAACAATTTCTGCTTGCATTATGTATATATTTAGGACCCAAGGACCAGTGAAAGTTGCTCTGACACAGGCGCAGCTACAGGCCATTGTGAGCTTTTAACTTACCTCTTCTATGGCCTCTGATACAGCCTCAGATAGAGGGCCACTGTTGACCTTTGACTCACCTTTTCTATGGCTTCTGATACAGCCTCAGGTAGAGGGCCACTGTTGACCTTTGACTCACCATTTCTATGGCCTCTGATACAGACTCAGGTAGAGGGCCACTGTTGACCTTTGACTCACCTTTTCTATGGCTTCTGATACAGCCTCAGGTAGAGGGCCACTGTTGACCTTTGACTCACCTTTTCTATGGCCTCTGATACAGACTCAGGTAGAGGGCCACTGACTCACCTTTTCTATGGCCTCTGATATAGACTCAGGTAGAGGGCCGCTGACTCACCTTTTCTATGGCCTCTGATATAGACTCGGGTAGAGGGCCACTGACTCACCTTTTCTATGGCCTCTGATATAGACTCAGGTAGAGGGCCACTGACTCACCTTTTCTATGGCCTCTGATATAGACTCAGGTAGAGGGCCGCTGACTCACCTTTTCTATGGCCTCTGATATAGACTCAGGTAGAGGGCCACTGACTCACCTTTTCTATGGCCTCTGATATAGACTCGGGTAGAGGGCCACTGACTCACCTTTTCTATGGCCTCTGATATAGACTCGGGTAGAGGGCCACTGACTCACCTTTTCTATGGCCTCTGATATAGACTCGGGTAGAGGGCCACTGACTCACCTTTTCTATGGCCTCTGATATAGACTCGGGTAGAGGGCCACTGACTCACCTTTTCTATGGCCTCTGATATAGACTCGGGTAGAGGGCCACTGACTCACCTTTTCTATGGCCTCTGATATAGACTCGGGTAGAGGGCCACTGACTCACCTTTTCTATGGCCTCTGATATAGACTCGGGTAGAGGGCCACTGACTCACCTTTTCTATGGCCTCTGATATAGACTCGGGTAGAGGGCCACTGACTCACCTTTTCTATGGCCTCTGATATAGACTCGGGTAGAGGGCCACAGACTCACCTTTTCTATGGCCTCTGATACAGACTCAGGTAGAGGGCCACTGACTCACCTTTTCTATGGCCTCTGATATAGACTCAGGTAGAGGGCCACAGACTCACCTTTTCTATGGCCTCTGATATAGACTCAGGTAGAGGGCCACAGACTCACCTTTTCTATGGCCTCTGATATAGACTCGGGTAGAGGGCCACAGACTCACCTTTTCTATGGCCTCTGATACAGGCTCGGGTAGAGGGCCACTGACTCACCTTTTCTATGGCCTCTGATATAGACTCGGGTAGAGGGCCACAGACTCACCTTTTCTATGGCCTCTGATACAGGCTCGGGTAGAGGGCCACTGACTCACCTTTTCTATGGCCTCTGATATAGACTCGGGTAGAGGGCCACAGACTCACCTTTTCTATGGCCTCTGATACAGGCTCGGGTAGAGGGCCACTGACTCACCTTTTCTATGGCCTCTGATATAGACTAGGGTAGAGGGCCACAGACTCACCTTTTCTATGGCCTTTGATATAGGCTCGGGTAGAGGGCCACTGACTCACCTTTTCTATGGCCTCTGATACAGGCTCGGGTAGGGGACCACTGTTACCAATACAGGTCATACAGCCGTAACCAACGATGTCAAATCTACAACAATTAACATATACTGTCAATACCAAGATAGAGTGTCTTTTTCATTAAACCTTCATTTTAATTCAGCCCTTTATCATATTCTGTCTCTTAAATATGGTCTAAAAGCCTTATTTTAATGGAGGCTCCGTGGAGCCCTGAACCCTAGAATTCTCAATTCTCATTATAACCCATTTCTACATGTAGGGGTATGGTACAGTTCACAATATCACATCCCTCAACTGTCTGGGTAACTGGAAATCTCCTCTGCAGCTGTACTCTCTCCCTTCCCAGCTGTACAGCTGTACTCTCTCCCTTCCCAGCTGTACTCTCTCCCTTCCCAGCTGTACAGCTGTACTGTCTCCCTTCCCAGCTGTACTCTCTCCCTTCCCAGCTGTACTCTCTCCCTTCCCCCACCAAAAACCAAGGATCCCAGCTCCTTTTACCAAGTTAGGGATACAGTACATTTCTTCACATCACATCCCTCCTCAACTACAGAAGTCCCTGCCATCCTCCTATACAGCTGTACCCATTCCCTTTTTGATCCCTGCTCCTTCCTTGTAGAGCTTTTTCTCTCCCTCTTAAGTCATGTCTCTCCCCTTAAACCCCCTCCCTCCTCTACCCATAGAGCCCTGTCCCCTCCCTACTCACCCTACCCATAGAGCCCTGTCCCCTCCCTACTCACCCTACCCGTAGAGCCCTGCCCCCTCCCTACTCACCCAAGTTTCTCCAGGTAGGGTGTGACGCCACTTTCTCTGAGGTAGTAGGTGACGACCCCACTGCCCGGCGACAGACTTGTCTTGATGTATGGACTAACGCTGAGTCCTGCCTCCACCGCTTTCTTCGCCAGGAGTCCGGCCCCCAACATGACTGACGGGTTGCTCGTGTTCGTACAACTAGTGATGGCCGCTATGACGACAGAGCCATGTGACATTGTGTACTCTTGGTTGTCAAACACGATCGGTGCAGTGACAGACTGGCGGTCTGAGGGAATGGCAAAACCCTGGTAATGGAACAAGGCAGAATGAATTCATTTTGTTTACTAAATTTAATTTTATTGTTTCCAATGTTGAAATTTCATTGCCACATTCACACTGAGTTTGTTCGCCTTACCTTGAAGCCGACTTTGTTGTTGAGACAAGCTTTGAAGTCTGTTTTCATGTCGGTGACAGCTACCTTGTCATGGGGTCGCTTAGGACCAGAACAGCAGGACACAATGGTGGACAGGTCAAGCTCCACAATCTGTCAAGGTCAGAGGTCACAACAAATCATTGATTGACTATGCCTTATTATTGACAATAAATTTGAAATTTCACTTGAGTGCATGCACTGATAGAAATTTGAGTAACCTTTAATTTATTTGAATGAACTGGAAGGGGAGAAAACTCATATCCCAAGTGTGTAAGGTAACATATAGCTTTAACTTGTGTGTTTGAACATTTTTGTGGTCAAGAGAAGAAACAAACCTGTGAGAAAACAGGATCCTCGGACTGGTCGCTATAGTTACGGAACATATGCACAGCACGGAGGTACTTCTCTATTTGTTGTATCTTGTCACTATGACGACCTGGAACATACAACAAAAGAGCTGCATGTAGATTCCTAAAACCAAAGGGGCTTTGTCTGTTGTATTTGTTTAGCTTACTTTAAACTGGCAACAATTTAAAATTTCAACTTATGTATGAACTTGCAAATAAAACAAGAAAACATTTGTAAAACATAATTATGCTTTGATGGAAATGTAGAAAATAAGCTGCACAAGAAGTCTTATTCTTCATTAACAGTGAAATAATCATCCTGTATTTGTTTATTTCTTTGAAATATGCAGCTAGTTGTTGACTGTTTGACTTCTAGCATTTGATTATGAAGGAAACTGCTTAGTCTAATAAAGATGTGATATGTACAGGTGGACTGAGAGATAAAGGCCCCTTCACTAATACAGATGTGATATGTATAGGTGGACTGAGAGATAAAGGCCCCTTCACTAATACAGATGTGATATGTAAAGGTGGACTGAGAGATAAGGGCCCTTCACTAATAAAGATGTGATATATATAGGAGGACTGAGAGAAAAAGGCCCCTTCACTAATAAAGATGTGATATGTATAGGTAGACTGAGAGATAAAGGCCCTTCACTAATAAAGATGTGATATGTATAGGTGGACTGAGAGATAAAGGCCCTTCACTAATAAAGATGTGATATGTATAGGTGGGCTGAGAGATAAAGGCCCCTTCACTAATAGAGATGTGATATGTAAAGGTGGACTGAGAGATAA